TGCACCCACACATATGTGCAAGTACATACACAAATACAAAAAAGAAAAACACAAATCATAACTATGTGTTTCAATCTCTGCATCATGGGAAGAACATTTATTCAGCTCGACCAGAGCTGCCCAGTTCAGAAACCAAACAGTAGCAGATCCACAAGGACGCGGGTCAGACATCAGCATGTGAGAACAAAAAAAAAAAAAACAAGAAGAAAACTAGAGTAAGGCTCCCTTCCCTGAGTGGGGCTGGGCAGCCCAAGGGGAAGTCACTGGGAGGGAGGGGACTCCCCGTTGTGCTGAGTCTACTCATTTTCTGTGACCTAAAAGGAAAGGGTAAAGGGAACCAAAGCCACTCCCAAATAGGGAACTCATATGACCTTAACCCTGAGATTCAGCACCTGCATCCCAAAAGGGATTGGGCATCTTAGAGCCTGAATGTCCTCAAAATCAGGGGGAGTGGTTATGTTTGTAGACGTGGGAGCTTTAGCATGGCCAGGGTACCAGAGTGCTGGTGACGCTCCCAGACACACGGTACCTTCCTGCCCCATAAAGGTTTTTTGTTTGTTTGTTTGTTTTGGTTTCTCAAGGCAGAGTTTCTCTATAGCTTTGGAGCCTGTCCTGGAGACCAGGCTGGCCTCGAACTCACAGAGATCTTCCTACCTCTGCCTCCTGAGTGCTGGGATTAAAGGTGTGCACCACCACCATCCAACTTAAGGTTTTTCTTTTTTTAAAGACAGGATCTCTTACAGCCTAGGCTGGCCTCAAACATGCTATGGAGCCATGCATGATCTTGAATCTCTACCTCCCAGATGCTGAGATTACAAGTGTGGGTTACCATGACTGGCCTGAGTGAGGTCCTCAGACCAGGAAGAAGTTCCTTCTGAGCTAGCAATGGCCGAGGAGTAAACTGGGCAGGTCTTCTGATGACCCATTTATTAAATGCTTTGTAGTGGAAATCAGAGAGAAGTGTGAAGGACGGGGAATTCAGAGTGGAGAAGAAGGTGGTCCAAAGGCCACTTTGTCAGGAACTGAAGTACACATGGCTCGTCCACAGAAGCCAAATTACAGGACCCCCAGAAGGGTTTTTCAGGACCATGAATCAAATGACTTGAGAAGTTGCCAGAAGAAAGGAAGAGATGGAGGTGGAGCAGAGCTCATGGCCAAGTGCACAGTACAGGTAGGGTGTGGGCAGAGACCCACAAAGGCCAGAGGAAAGCCAGAGCTTATGTGGTCCCTCCCTGCTTTCTGGGTGATTGAAGACCCACCTAAGACTAGAGGCTGCCCTCATCGGGGAGTGTCAGTGGCTACAGCGTGGGACGTATGGTAGCAGTCTTTGTTCTCAAGGTGTCCTTCTGGAGTTTGGCCAGGAGCTGCTCAGTGGCACTGACTCAGCAGGGATGGAACTCACGCCTCCTGGCTTCTGTCTTGCCTATTCCTCTCTGTAGGCTTCAGGGATAAGCCAACCAAGTGCTGAACTCTTGAGTCAATGGGACCCAAGATGGTGGTGGGCGTCTCTGAGACCCTTCCAGGCCCCTGATCCCTACAGTCACCTTAGATACTACCAAGATGAAGCTCCCATGTGTCCCTCATGGAAGCAGCTGGGGCACAGGATGAAGGGTCTCCTGCAGAGAAGGTCTCGGCTTTGGAAAACCGGCTTACTTAAGTTGGGTTCCTTGAACAGTGGCTGGGTCTGGAAAGTACTTTAAGTCCAGTGTGTGGTTCACAGACCAAGCTTCTCGAGGAGTTACCTCGCTGTCAACAGCAGCTCCGACGTGTCTGAGTCACGTGACTGAGATAGAGACATGTGGCCAGCCTTCATGCGCACCTCCCAGGCAAGCTAGAAATTCCTTCCAGCTGTCCCTCTGGTATCGGCCTGTAAGGGACCCCTGCAGGTCGCAGACCAGTGTGTCAGCAGCACAGCCCTCTTGTGGGATGTAAGGAGCAACATCTCTTCCTTTTGTAGCAGAGTGCTCACGTAGTAACAGAGGACAAAGAGCAAAACAGAGCAGCGGGTCCCTGACTAGGGATGTATTTAACAAATGACCATCTTCTTATATGCACATCCTCAACCAGGGGTGGTGAGATGGTCTGCCAGGTAAAGGCACTTTCTGTGCAAGCGTGGTGACCTCAGTACCATCCCAGAACCTATAAGGGTGTGATGGGAGAATAGGAACTAAAACAGCTACATCAAGATTAACATGTGACCAGGTATGGCAACAAACACCTTTAATTCCAGCACTTAGGAAGCATAGGCAGATAGATCTATGTGAACTCAAGGCTCTCCTGATTTACACAGGGAGTTCCAGGCCAGCCAGGGCTATATAGACCCAATCTCAAAAAAATAAAGATCAAGATTAACATGTAAAAAAAAAGTGAGTTTCTGAGGAAGACTGGATGTACTCATTTATCCTAGCATCATATAAATAAATGCATGAAATAAAAGCCCCAAAATACAAACAGGAGGTAGGGAATAGGAAAAAGCCACATACTAGTGGCCAGATGCCACTTTGGGCCCCTTCCTCGGCTTAGTCCACTTCCATTTTTGAGAGTGACTATTCTTTTTATTTATTTATATTATTGTTTTTTAAAAATTATTTATTTTTAGTGCATGTGCATTGGTGTTGTGTTTTACCTGCACTTATGTCTGTGTGAGGGTGTCAGAAGCCCTGGAACTGGAGTTACAGACAGTTGTGAGCTGCCATGTGTGTGCTGGGAATTGAACTCAGGGTCCTCTAGACGAGAAGCCAATGCTCCTAACTGCTGAGCCATCTCTCCAACCTTCTGCATTATTGCTTTTAATTGTGTATAATATGTGTGTGTGTGCATGAGGGTGTGGTTGTCCTCGGAGGCTGGAAGAGAGTGTTGGATCTCCGGAACCAGGAGTTACAGGAGAGTGTGAGTCTCTTGATGTAGGTGATGGGAATCAGACCTGGGTCCTCTGCAGTGGCTTTAAGTGCTGAACCATCCCTCCAACCCACCTTTTTCTTTTTAAGTAATTTGTCTATTTCTATTCCATGCCTAATTTAGCAGACATAAGTTTTCCTTCACCTCCACAGTGGCTGCTAGGATTTTCACCTAACCTGTACTATGTTTTTTTTTTTTCCAGGCTCTAATCAAATTGTTCTTGGGCCTCCTTTTGAATCTATTCTAAATTCTTTTATTAATGAGACTAAGAACTTCAAAATGGAACCTCAGTTTCCTTGGTAACAAAGGTGGAAGGCGAGCACTAATGCCACAAAGCTGTCCTCTGACCTCCACACTTGTGTTGTGGCATTCATGTCACCCCACACCCGTGCACATCACCCACCCCTACACCCGCACCTATCCCTCCACATCACACACACACATCACACACACACATCACACACACACATCACACACACACACCACAAACACACATCACCCACCCCCGCACCCCCACACACACATCACCCACATCACCCACACACCCGCACCTACCCCCCACATCACACACACACACATACACACATCACACACAAACACATCACACACATCACCCACACCCACACCCGCACCTACCCCCCAACACATCACACACACACATCACCCACACCCGCACCCACCCTCACACACATCATACACACATACATCACCCACCCCCATCCCCACTCCCCTCACATCACACACACACACACATCACACATATCACACACACACATCACCCACCTCCACACCCCCCCCCCCACACACCCAACCCCCCCCCCCCCCCCCCCCCCCCCCCCCACACACACAGAGTAAATAAAATTTAGACTGAAAGGCCCTCTGCTGTTTGTCTTTTGTTTGTTGGCTTGCTCTGATTGAAAGAGCAGCCTTGCTCATAAGTCATTCTAATTCTAGGGGAAGATAGCAGTGCCCAACCCTGTACGGGGCAGAGGTGGAATTCAGCTCCTTTCCCTTCCTCTGAGGAAAGTCCAACAACAGCAAAAATATTCTGACTTCCTCCAAAATATTTGGGACCTTTGCATCTAAGGGCACACTCAGTCCAGCTTCAGTCACTTGGGGCAAAGGTTTGCTCCCCAGGGTGGCACTACTGGAAGTCAATAGCAGCTTCCACAGTGGTTCTCAGCCTCCCTCATGCTGGGACCCTTTAATACAACTCCTCCTGTTGCAGAGACCCCCAGCCATAAACTTATCTCATTGTTACTTCATAACTGCAATTTTGCTACTATTATGAATTGTAATGGAAATAGCTGCTTTAGGAGGTGGAACTCTTGGGAGATCTTCAGGTGGATTACTGGAGCTGTATCCTTGCAAGAGATAACAGAGCCTAGCTCCCTCCTCTTGTTCCTATTTGCTTCCTGGTCACCCTGATATGTGTGCCACAGGCCCCACACCTCCAAAACTGTGAGCTGAAAACATAAAAAAAAAAAAAACCCAAACCCTTTCACTCCATATAAATCGAATAGTCTGGGTGTTTGCCATAGTGACAGGAAAATAATACAGCGGCTTCCTTGAAGTTGGGAATTGCAGAGTTCACGGCTGGTACCCAGTTCCAGGTCTAGAGCAGTTACCAAAGGAAGTCTCTCTGTGGTCTCCAGAAATCCCACCCTAAAATACAGACTCTCATAGGATTGTGCAAGAGATGGAGCTACCTTCTCTGACATCATTACACCTGGAAAACCATGGCAGGAGGTGCTTCAGTTCCAGCCAAGCTGCCTTACGTTGCTAACCTCTGTAAGGGAGAAGACAGAGAGGGGTGGTAAAGGATGGCCACTTGTGAAAACGCACATTCTTGCTTCTCACACTAAATGCTCCAAGTGGCACCAGTGTGTCTAGTCTATTCTTTTTGCTTGTTTTTTTTTTTTCAAGACAAGGTCTCTCTGTTAGCCCTGGCTGTCCTTGAACTCACTCTGTGAACCAAGTTGGCCTCAAACTCAGAGATCCGCCTCCCTCTGCCTCCAGAGTGCTGGGATTAAAGGTGTGTGCCACCACTGCCCCAGCTAAGAGGTTTATTCTTACAGAAGAAAAAAGCAAAGACAAGGAGGGCCTGCCATGGTTGTTTATTTATTGCTTTGATCAACAAGAACAGATTAGCCGTAGCTCACTTACACATTCCAAGTAGTTATAGTGATAAGTGAGAACGAGACAATCTCCTAAAGGCGTCAATGTGTCTACAGGGAATTAGGTTGAAATGGCTCAAGGTCCAGATTAATTAGATAATCAGACTTTGGAACCCAGGAGGCTGTGTTCACCATCCCAAGCTCCTATCTCCCAGGCCTGCTAGAAAATGCTGACGCTTTTCTTCGTCTTTCCATAGGTACAGGGTGTGGCCTCTCTGGCTGGATGATGGACAGCATTTCAAGGGACTTGCATCCACTAAGTCACTTAAGCCTCCACCACCTGCTGAGGTGGAACTTGGATCATCTTCTTACTTCATAGATGAGGAAAGTAGGGCAGACGTGGCTGAAGAGACTCAGACAATTAGAGCTGAAGGCTGGAGCTGGCACCCTGGTCCCAGAGCCCACTCTGGATGTCTCCAGCATTTGTCATAAAAATGTGCTAGGTGATGCTGGGCGGGTGGTGGTGCACGCCTTTAATCTCAGCACTTGGGAGGCAGAGGCAAGCAGATCTCTGTGAGTTCAAGGCCAGCCTGGTCTACAAGAGCTAGTTCCAGGACAGGCACCAAAGCTACAGAGAAACCTTGTCTTGGAAAAAAAAAATGCTAGGTGACATGGGGTGGGGAGATGTATGTGACAGCAGAGAGTAAGCACTATATGTGTGCGTGCGTGCGCCTGTGTGTGTGTGTATGTATGTGTGTATGTCTGAGTGTGTGCTTGTATATGTGTATGTCTGTGTACGCTTATGTATTTGTGCTTGTATATGCTTCTGTGCTTGTGTGTATCTCAGTGTGTGCTTATGTATGCATGTGTAAGGAAGGGAATATGTGTGTGTGCACGTGGAAGACAGAGGTATACGTTGGATATCTTGTCCAGTAGCTCTCCATCTTAGTTTTTGGGACAGTCTCTCCAGGAACCTGAAGTTCATCAACTTGGCCAGACCAGGTAGTTGGCGGACAAAGATTTGCCAGGGATCCTCCTACCTTTGCTCCCCAAGTACTAGTATGGCAGGCACAATTTTATGTGTGTTCTGGGAATAGAACTCAAGTCTTCATGATTATACAGAAGGCACTTCATCAACTAAGTCATCTCCCTAAGCTTTTAAGTCGCATGGGCACCCCCACGATGATGCCTAAGAGCGTTCTGATGGACATTCGCAGTTCTGGTTTTCCATACCACCATTTTGGTTTCAGCACTGAAAGCCCTGCACCTCAGGAAACTCCCCAGTCTGGGAAGGCTATCCATCTAGGTCTTGGTCTCTTTCCCATAAGAATCACGGAAGGTCATTGCTTCCTTCCGTGAATCATGAATTCCATGAATCATGGAAGGTACATGCTGTCTGTACCACAGCCTGCCAGTATGCGCGTCAAGACAGACTCTCACTATGCAGTTTAGGATTTCCCCAAACTCATGATTCCCCTGCCTTAGTCTCCCATGTGCCGTGATTACCATCAGTCCTGGCTCTTAAGAACTCACAGACAGAACTCTTGCAGGCTCCCCCAGGTGACTGACACTGGATTTTTTCCATACTCCAGTGGGAACATACCTCTGGATGGAGATCAACTCTAGCACTCCAGTTCAGAAATAGCATTCTCAGCCCCACCTTTGAGTTTTAATTCACCAAAGATTAAACTGACGTCTAAGGAGTGAGCTAGGCCAGGAACTCATATCCAACAGCTTAGGGCCTACCCAAGCCCTTTCAGGTTCAAAGAAGAGTAGTTAGGTCCTGCCCCTTAGCAGAGGTACAGCCAGAGCTGAGAGGCAGCTATGCCCGGGTGCAGAGAGAAACACAATTCTGAAGCACCCAGGGCATCTAGAGATGAGTGAGGAAGGGGCAGCCAGGCTGGGAACACCACAGAATGTTCTCAAGCCTGGAGGTTTCCCCAGGCAAGAGCATAAGCCAGAGGTTACAGGCTAGCTGTGGTTGACGGCTATCACTTACCTAATGTCACCATTCTCTAGGATTCCGAGAGAATGACAAGTACATGGACACACACACACACGGACACACACAAAGACATACACACATACACAGGGCCACACGGACGCTAACTGGGACAATGACACCCTGTGAGGTGATAAACAGCAGACAGGAAGAATCAACTAAAATGTGGCTGCTATAGAACCAATAATGGATGGAGGTGACAAGGAGTCTAGGGCCTGAGACCCGAATGTTCCAGTGAGTCACTGAGACAGACTTGCTGAGCTCCCCCAAAGGCTCAGGGGTTGGAGGAACCAGGCTCCTCTAAACATGGAGAGGCAGAGGGCAGACTGCCATTTGAAGGGCTGGTTGACTATTACTTTGAGAACAACTGATCAACCCGGGCTCTTTTCACAGTGGGCACAGACAGGATAAGAACCTCCCCACCATGACAGGAGAGGCTCACAAAGGGCTCAGGAGTGTGCCCCCTCCCCACTTCCTGGAGGAGCTGTTCACACCAATGCCCTCTTCCTGGCTTGCCCTCTTATTTCTTCTTCTTAGTCATAGGGAGTCTCAAAGACATATAATGAGAAGCCACATGGACATCAGTGTCTGGTTTTCTGCTGCCATACTTTCTTCCTACCTTCCTCAATGCACCAGGCCATTTGGTGGGACAGGAGGGGCCCATGGCCTTCCACTGTGTAGCATCCTCTTGCTCAGTTTTCTGGATTGCTGGGGATGGGACCCAGGGCCATGCCTGTGCTAAGCAAGTACTCTATCACTGAGCTGGGTCCCCATTATCCACTCCTTTAGTAACAGGACCTTCCTTTTTTACCTGGGAGCCTTGTTTTCCAACTACAAAACACTTTTCAGGCACCTTTGCAGTTCAGTGTGGTCACATGACTTCATAAGTAAAAACTGTAAAGAGATTTGGGAAACTGAATCTTTAAAAGGAAGGTGTTAGTGGCTCCTTTCTTCTGCTCTGATTGTGGAGCTGCTGATGAGATGGGTCAGTGCCTCAGCAGCTACAGTAGACCCTGGACCTGGGGGCTAACAGAACACACTACCGGTAACAGAACAGAAACAGCCTGAGCCGTTTTCAGAGTCTGACCTCCATGGCCTGCCTCTGGATTTCATACGACAGAGAAAAAAAATATCTTGTTGTAACCACTATCATTTGGGGATTTTCTGCTGTGAAAAGATGCTAATCCTATTTTGTAACCTGAGACGAGGTCCATCTTCTCTGGGCTCTCTTCCCACTCAGATCCTGGGAGATCAGCCAGCAGGGACTGGGTTGTATGGAGTTCACACATTCAGAGGCAAATCTGGAGCACAGATGTTTTCCTTGGCTCCTACAAAGTTTAAAGAATTAGAAAATTCTTGAACATGGTTTCTGTTCTTATTATTCTTGGTGAGTTTTGTTGTTGTTATTTTTTTTGTTACTTCGCTCATGTATCCAGGCTGACCTCAGGCTTACCATGTAACCAACGATGACCCTGAATTCCTGATCCTCCTGCCTCAGTTGTTTGAGTGCTAGGGTTACAGGCTAGAGACTGAAACCAGGGCCCAGTGCACACAACGTGAGTACTGCACCCAGCCCTTGACTAGATCCTAAACTTTGAAGTCCAGGATTCTGGATCCGCTTTGATGGCTGGAGGATCTGGCTGCTGAAATATTGATTCCAGCACAGTAGTATTTGGTTTCTTTGTGTATTCACGGCAGGGTTGCATGCAGCTCAGGCTAGCCTCACATTCACTGTAGAGCTAAGGATGACCTTGAACTTCTGGTACTCCTGCCTCAACCTTTAGAGCTGGAATTATAAGCATGTACCACCACAATGAGCATTTAGATGTGGCGTCTACTACCTCCTTGTGATGTTTCCCTATCAAATAAGGATGCTCTCCTTGATCCAAGAATGGGATTTGCCTATGGCTCAGACTATGAGCCAGCTATGTCCACACATTGGCCCTGAAAAGGGATGGCTCTAGTTTATTCCAGAGTTAGTGAATCTGTGTTGTCATCTCCGCTATACAGAGGAGGAAATAGGGGCTCAGACTTGCCTAAGGCTGCAAGCCATGAGCTTTGACCACTCTACTCTGTAACTGCTCTGTCAGCATTGACCCTGTAACCCCGAGACTCCTGAATGTGTGCTCAGCCTCACAGGGAAAAAAGATAAACTTAATGATCATTGTCATGATGTGTCACATTAGGAGGGGACAGTTTACCTGAAGAATTATGAATAGGCAGAGTAAGATATTCCCTATATTCTCAAAGCCTGGCACAGAGTCAGCCTGGGGAGTTATGTTGAACAAACAAGGAAGCCACACTCTTGGAACAGAGCCAGGATGCAAACCCTGGGTTCCAGCCTCTTGCCCAGGCTTTTCCCCAGACGTGGCTGCTGCCAGCCTCACCTGCTTTCCCCCAAGCACACTGCCTAGCATGTTTGCCCTCAACCCTGGTGCATTTCTAACCAGCAGCCAACATGGAGCTTTGGTTCCTCCCCAAATGAGGGTCTGATTGTGATCCTTGCTGCTTGGGACTGCAGGGCCACTGGGAGGACCAGACGACATCACACATGAAATGATACATAAAAAGTGCTTAGTACACAGTGGGCATCACTGGGTCGCATCTTTTATGAAGTTAGGCGGTACGGGGGACTGACATTGTTACCTGGAAATCCTCTCCTGCAGTCATCAACCTGACTCTGCACCAAGGCCTTGCTCAGAAGCAGCTCCTCTTTATCCCAGGGGCAACACAATGACAAGAGCTTCCCCTGACTCCATTCCACACCCCCCACAGCACCCACACCCCCCACGGCACCCACACTTACTCTTGCCAGACCTTAGCCTCGGCCTAGAGTTCTGGAGAAAAAGTGACCCCACTCACTGGCAAGTCAAAGTCATGGGACTTTCTTCTTTAATCCATGAACATTGATTGTAGAGAATGAGAGGAACACGGATGTTTGATCATGCGCACCATTGCCTTCTCCATTTCTTCTTCTCCTGACCCTCTTCTCGCTAATAACCTCACCTCCTTCATGATAACTGTCTTCCATATTCTGCACTTGAGAGAAAATGTAACTTACTTTTTTCTTTTAACTTGATTTATTTAATTTAACATGAAGATCTTTGGTCCCACCTGTTTTCCTTCTAATGATATAATTTCATTCTTCTCATGAAACATTTTCTTGGGTTTTTTTTGGGTTTGTTTGTTTGTTTGTTTTTGTTTTTAGAAAAAGCCTCATATAACCCAGGCTGGCCTCAAACTCACTAGGTAGCTAATTCTTCTGCTTCCACTTCTCAAATGTTGGAATTACAGGCATGTACCACCCCATTCATTCTTCACATGATTTTTTTATATTTTATTTTATTTTATTTATATATGTGGGGGTTCCCATGAATGCAGGGCCTATGGAAGCAGGAAGATGGCTATAGATCCCCTGGAATTGGAGTTACGGGCATTTGTGAGCCAACCTACACGGCGCTGGAAACCAAACTCAGAACCTCTGCAACACCAGTGTGTGCTCTTGACTACTGAGCCATCCCTTTATCCCCTCAGGGCTTTCTGACGTCAGGAAGATGACAGCAAGTCTCCTGAAAGGGGAACAAAAGGTAGATACGTTCCTACTCTGGCCGACTTTAGATGTTACTGAACTACATTTCCCAGCCCACCCCATCCCCCTACAACTCTGTGGCCCAGTGATCCACCTGTAACCTACTACAATGACCCCCCCTACTACAATGTATCAAATGTGCTTTTCCGAGCCTGGCTACCTCACACTTCCTCTTCTAACTGGCTGGAGTAAACTTGACCTTGGAATCCCAGAGCCGTAGATTCAGCAGGACTGCTGTGGACCACCTACCCAGAAGAAGCACAAACTCAGGAATCCAATTCAGTGCTAGACCAGGTATCTGTTTCATCCTCTTTGTTACAGTAACTACTGCTGAAACATTGTAGTTTTCTTTCTTTCTTTCTTTCTTTCTTTCTTTCTTTCTTTCTTTCTTTTTTTCTTTCTTTCTTTCTTCCGTCCTTCCTTCCTTCCTTCCTTCCTTCCTTCCTTCCTTCCTTCCTTCCTTTCTTTCTTTCTTTTTTTAATGTCTTCATGTTTAAGACTCGGTCTCTAAACAGCTCTGTTTGGGAACTCACTATACATAACAGACGGGTCTTGAACTCACAGAGATTTTGCCTGCTTCTGCCTCTGCCAAGTGCTGAGATTAAAAGCCTAGTCCAGCACAATGTAATTGTTTCTAAAGTGAAGCACCTCCACCCCACCCCACCCTACCCCCACACAAACTTTGTTGCATTAGCAATGTTATTACCAAAGCCTCTCTTGGCTTAGCTGGAAAGATTACTCCTAAGCAGTTCCCATAATGCAATTTATTAGCTGGAACTGGATTTATATATATTTGAGACAATCTCACTCTGTAACCCAAATTGGTCTTAATCTTATGGCAATCCTGCTTCTACTTCCCAAGCACTAGGAATACAGACATGAGCCACTCCACCCTGGTTGGGATTAGCCTTGAACCACTCCACCCTGGTTGGGGTTAGACCTGAGTTTGGTTTTGCAGGAAGGCTTAGAGAGTCAGAGTTCGTATGGAATGCATTTAAGGAAAGGCAACTCTCTCCATCCCTCCTCCAGCTTTCTACATGATGTGTTTTGTTTGGAGAAGCTCAAGGCCAGCCTGTATTAACTGGTAGGGTCCAGATAACACAGTCAAGGGAGTAATGGAGGAAAGTTTAACAAATGCACTGACTACGAAGGCATGGGCTCTGCCTGTGTGCTGCCCAAGTAAGCAGGACATCCCTCCACAGGATGAAAACTACTTCCCAGTGACCCCTGGATATCCCCAGGTCTGTCTCTCTGCTGCAGGTGCTAGCAGGCCTGGAGCAACCTTAGTCAGTTGTGTTAAACTCAAGGTGTGGGGGTCGCCGTTCCACGCCACCCACTTCCCACGAGTTCCATATTGTCCTAGGGGTTAAAACACAAGACGCACACACAGATACAGAGTTCGAGTCATCCTCAAGAAGAGAATGCCCAATTTATTTAACTTAATCCAGGGTTAAATACTTTTGGCCCCAGTAAAGGAAAACTCCTCCCACCCAGAGGGGGCTGGGGAAACTGGCGTCTGTGAGAGCTCCTTCTCAGGCAGGTGGTCGAGGGTGCAAGGCAGTGCCAGACAGGGTAGATGGGCCTTGGCGCCTGAGCTTCTTTTAGGCAGGTTGAGAAATTACCATTTTAAAGTAATATAGACCCCTCAGGCTATTGTACCAGGCTGTAGCAGAGCAAGCACAGAACTTAGCAGGAAGCTTAGTTGGTTAGCGTAAACATTACTTGCATCCTGTGTTTTGGCCTCGAGAAACAGGGAGGACAGGGCCTCACATCAAGATACCAAGAAGTTCATGGAAGAGGCTTCGAAAAATACCAGAGGAGACTGGGGAAGATACAGTCCTTGCCTGCCACTCAAGAAGTCTGGGGTTTGGTCCTTGGTACTGCAAAATATACACATAAATGCACCTGACAATGGAGGAGAGTGTGGGGTTAAGCCTCTCACTCCCTGAGCCCCCAATTGGATTAACTGCATACCCTACCATCTTCCAGATGTTGAGTCCAGAGCTCATGCTGGTCCCCTGCCTGCTACCAAGTTTTCTTGCTGCCCTGTCTCTTTTCTGCATCTCCCTTATGGGGCTTCTTTAGATCTCTTCAAATAAACCCCAAACTTTGTCTCAGGAGCTGTGTCTAGGAAAACCCTAACACCAGGAGCATAACTCAGGAAGAGCAGCCTCACATGGTGCAAGTCTTGGGGTCACTGTCTTAGAGACAGGGGCAAAAAGGGAGCTAGGGGGGCAGAGGGGAGAGCAGAGAGAATAAGCTTGCCAGGAGCTATGGCCTTGCCAGAAAGACGGTTCTCTTTGATGCCTAGGGGAGTGGAGGGAATAAGCATCCTGGCTTCTCTATCCTGTCACCTTCTGTCCCTCTGACTGTGCCAAGGTGAAAGAGTCCCCGGTGTTGTATATACCACCATGAGGTTTGCTCTTTGGCAAAAGAGCGGTTCGTGTATACAGCGGTGAGGAGAGGTTGTATACAGCACTCTGCTGTTTCCTGGACGTTTAGGCCTGCCTAGAGAGGAGAATTTCAACTATCTGCCTGGTCAGGATGGAGCACCCCGAGGTACAGAAGCCAGAGGGCTGTGGCAGATGGAAGTACTTGCCCCAAAACATGGCAGCTGATGAGGAACACCTGCCATAGTTTTGCAAGTAAGGAACGTGGCTAGGCTTTACTGGGCACTGACTGGAGTCAGCTGGTTGGCTGAAGGGTGGCTTCATGGTACTTCAGATGGTGGGATTAGGGGTGGCTGAAAGATGAGACTTGGCTCACAGCCAACTGGACTCGCTGCACACACTTTCCACCAGTGACAGTATCTTCTGGTGGCTCAAGTACCCAGAGAGAAAAACCAAGAGGTCCCAGCGGAAGTTGAAAAGGCCCCAAATCCCTCCAGATAAGAAAGTCTAGATGCCTCTTCTGCCGTGTTCTACCAGCAAGCCCTTCAGGCCCTCCCAGGGCAGGATGCCAAAACCTAGACTCCATCAGCAAAGAGCTGTCGCCTTTGGTGGGACAGCAAGTCATTCTCGTGGCCCCAGATCCCTCTAGTATGTTGACTGACTTTGGAGAAGGACTTGACTGTCACAACCCGGACCCAGATACAGAGTCAGAATGAAATCTAAGTATCAGCACTCTACGACACACTGCTCCTCCAAGAGCCCAGTGGGCAGTGCCCTCTTGCAGCCCCAGTGACTTCATCTGTAGACTGGTAACAGTTCCTGCATTACAGAGTGTGGGACAGATGGAATGGGATGATGTTTGTAAAGTGGCCACTGGCCACCGAGGGTGTGCCCACATGGGGTGGTGGTGTCATGTATCTGAGGTAACAAATCACCCACAATGCTACAGTGTGTTAAGAACTTTTCTTTTTGAAACAGAATCTCAATAATCTCAAGAATAGCCCCCAAATCCTCCTGCCACCGCTTCCTGAATGCTAAGGTTACAGGTATGTATTACCATCTCCAATCCACCCCCTCCCTCACTCCTCAGTCCCACATGAAACCCAACCCCAAATCTGGATTCTGCAGCTTACATGCAGCATGGATCTGACTATCACCTGTCCCCACTCTGTCACCTGGATCCTTCCTCGGGACCCCTCTCATGCTGGCCCCTCATGTCAGGGTGCTCAAGGTCTCCACTTCAAGGTCTACGCACCTCAAGCTGCTTAAACATCTTGCTAGACTACAGCGGGCCCCTGCCCTCAGCCAGGAGTGTGTTTCTAACCAGTTCACCTGCGACGTCAACCTAGAGAAGTTTCTAGACTTTGAGCTGGAGAATTTTCCCAATAAAGGTTGGATGCTGTACAGAAAAACCATTGACAAACCATCACTTACCTCCCAGCAGGCTCATGGGAAGGGCAAACCTCACTGTGGCACATAGCATGATTTAGCTTCCACCTTGCCTTCTGGCCTCAGTCCCCTATTCTTCCCCCTCTTATTTATAGGTTTGTTTATTTACAGACGAAAAGTGGAAATTGCATCTCGTCTAGTTCTGGGATACCGTCATTAAACTGATGTTTCCATGTGCCCCAGTCTTCCCACAGATTTATCCTGTCCCACCGCTTGAATGACAGTCCTTAGACTTAAGTGCATGTTTCCCTTGCTTTACATTCCTCCGCACTGATGCATATAGCAAGCATGCATATTTTTGGTGTCGTTTTTATATGTCCTAGAAGTTGACCAGAGTGTATGAAGTTTTCTTTCACTTATTCTTTCTATCCCCATTCAGTATTGCGTCTGCGTACACCTGCTGGGGCTTTGCAGCTGAAACTCACTTTATTGCTGCATAATACTCTATGGTGCAGACAGTCCGTTGTGTTTCCCCGCTAAGTCGATGTGAGCATTCTGAATAGTCTCCACACATGGGCATGTTTCTCCAGCGTAGCTGCCCCGGGAGAGATAAACTCTATGTCTCTCTCTGTCTGCCCGTGTCTCCAGCCACCCTGGTGTCCTTTCAAGTTTTAACTTCCAGGAGTCTCTCACACATATAACGAATGTCCCTTTGCAGCCCACCTGCCCTCGCCTGGTGAGCTCCAGCCGTCGTTGACTCCGCTAAATCTCCCTAATTACACACTCTCGCTTTGGGATTCTGCAGCAAGTGGATCTACCCGGCAGAATCCTGCCCACGAGGCTCCGAGGCTCGGTGCCTCCAGCTTTGGCCTGCACATAGTAGGCGCCCAGGCAACAGTGGAAGCCTCGGTAAAGAAGAGGCCGGAAAGGGGTCAGGGCTTGGCGGGGACACTGGAGTCACGCCTTCTGGGGGCTCACCTGGAAGTTTTCTAGGGTGTAGCCGCCGGAAAGGTCAGGGGTCCAGAACTCCGGGGAAATGGGCGCCAGGGATGCAGGCGGGCCAAGGGCGGACCCGAGCCCCGGAAGGCGGAGTCTCCGGTGTGGGCGGGGAGTGGGAGGGACCGGCCGGAGCAGCCCGGTAAAAAAGAGCGTGGCGGTCTGCCTTGTCTGAGAGTCCTCGGGAAGCGACCCTGCCACCGAGCCAGCGCGGACCCGGAGAACTTCGGCGGCGGGAAGAGCTTCGCACCGGGGTGCACACTCGGCACCATGGCCCAGACGCCCGCTTTCAACAAACCCAAAGTGAGCGTGGAGGGGCTCCGTCGCCCGGGTTGTGCCCCCGGGCTGTCTCAGGGCTTAGCCGGGCCCAGCCCTGGGAATCTTCACCCTTAGAAGCATAGGAGGACTCCCGCTGGCGTCTCCCCTAGGCCCAGGCCGTGGCTTGCTTCCGGAATGTCGAGAGACGATGTGACAGGGAGAGTCCAGAACCTGGAGGTGCCTCTGGCTGGCCTTCGGGTTCGGCTGCTGTCCATGCCCTGTCCACTCCGGCTCTCAGCCTCGCTGTCTGTCTAATGGGCACTCAGTGGGTGGGGCTGCGCAGCTGTGCAAGCCTGGTGATGTCTGAACCTTAGTAGAATGGGGCCCAGGGTCTCTAGCTGTTAAGTGTTCTGTGAATGGCTTTATCTTCAGTGTTATGATTGCTTTGTGGGCACCAGGTAACTTAGGTTTGTGGGTGCGCCCGTGGGGAAAAGTTGTGATCCAAGCCATAAAGGGGAACGAGGCAACAGAGCGCTGGGGAGGAATTCTTATACACCCTGGGCTTCTGGCCACAGTAGGTTTGTTTGAGGTCAGGTCATGGCCCTTGAGCCCTAATGGAGTACCCCTTGTCTTTCTGCCTGCAGTTGTAGCTTCTTGGAAACAATGAAAGTCAGGGAGAGTCCAGGTCCCTAAGGCCAGCTTTGCAGCCCCCAGGAATTCTGTCCAAGGAGGCCCTAGACCCAGTAGTCAGTCAGCCAGGCAAATTGCACTGGTCAACAGAGTGAGGACTGAGGACCCAGGGGTCGGAATCAGAGACAGCAGGCTCAGTTTTACCCCACCAAGAAACAGATCTTGAATGGTGATGGCAGACATCGCAAAGGCATTAGTAAGAATCCAGTGTGTATGTTGTGCACCATATGTGTGCCTGGAGGGGGAGGGGGAAGGGCAGGTGGGCCTGCTCCTCCCAGAGGGCACTTACTCTGACCCTGCCTTCAGAAGCTAGAGGCTAGAAGGGCAAGGCACGCCTTCTTGCCCAACCCATGCCTCCTGCACATCTTGTCTGGTGCCCCTCACCATAGTTAGCGCCTCTTGTCATTGAAGACTTTTTTTTTCTTTTGATGATCTGAATTCTCTCCACCTTTGGTCAGGGGAATGGCCTCTCCTGATGGGAGTGATGGAAGCTGAAGCTGAATGACAGGTGACAGGTCGATAGCACCTTACCCTTTTGTCACAGCGCTGTGGGGAGTGCCAGTATACTATGATCCCCGGCATTGTCTCCTGGTTCATGGTGGCAGGTCATTTCCTCCTCGGCCTCAGACTCCACACCTGGGGGAAAGGACTTCATTCCTAGGCCTACGCGCACCGGTGTCTGGATGTTAGGAGGCAATGCTTGAGTGGAAAGGTAGCATGTTGGCTGCTACGTCTCGTGTCATGGGGAGGGAGGAATGTAGCTGTGGCCGACAGAAGTGGGAAGGGGTCACTGGAATCAGCGTCTGGGCGGCCTGTGTGATTTTTACTCGTTGAAGCTTGCTGAGGTCCCAGCCTTCACACCATAACTGCACACAGCCTGTCCATCCTGGCAATGACCTTGCGAGGTAGCCAGTACCATCTCCGTGTGCAGATGGGGAAACGGGTGCAGAGAGCCTAATGAGAAAGTAGCCAGACTGGGAGAAGAGCCCACATTGAGGGCTGGCTTCAAAATCCCATCTCCTACACCAGGCACCGTGGTACACACCTGTAATTCCTAGCATTTGGAAGGCTGAGGCAGGAGGATTTTTTTTTTAGTTCCAGGCCTGAACTATATAGTAAGACCTTGTTTTGGATGAGAAAATAACATAAAAGCCAGAAATTCCATGCACCTGTCTCCCCTGGGTGAGCTCTGTGAATGCCTTAGGGGTGAGATGGCATCTCACCTGAGCCAGGGGCCTTTGCTGGTGACCACCAGCTGTCCTAGGGGCTTGGACAACTTCAAGGTGAGCAGTGATACCTCCCAGAGTTTTTGTTTTGTATATGTGTGTGCAGGCCTGTGTGTGGCGATAAGAGAATAACCTTGGGGGTCAGTTTTTCTAGGCGTTCTCCTGTCTCTGCCTCACATTTCATGAGAGGAGTAATGGGGTTGTAGATGTGAGTTACCATGCCTGACATTTGGCGTGGGCTCTGTGGATTTGAACTCAGAGCCATACACTTGTGTGCAAGCTCTTTTCTTTCTGAGATATAGCCTCAGCTTCCCTTCCAGATTTGGAAGTAATCTGACTTTAACTGCAGGCTGAAACTGAGGAGGTTGAGGTGGGGGTTGAGATACTGTTGTCTTGCCCCCAAGCGATGTAACACTCCTGGTCCATCAGCCTACCTGGAGGAGCAAGAACCTAGCTAGACACCTGCTACCTGCTTTGATTGAATGCTTGCTTCTTAAAATTGCTGGGCTCTGAAGAAGGGGTGTGTGTGTGTGTGTGTGTGTGTGTGTGTACACCAGTGATCCTTATCATTGAAGCAGGACTAGAAAATTCCGTGGCTTCAGTTGTTACTATGTGTTAAAGTTCCACCCTGACCTCGTGCCTCTAGCTGTGATGCGGTCGTGAATACTGGGAACCTTTAGCGGCTTCATTCACAGAATCCTGAATGACTGAACAGCTGCTGTCAGCATCCCATTTGCAAGTGGAGTAGTCTGAGGACTAGAGAGGACAAGTTTGCTCAAAGCTGCACTATCTGTGCATCTCATGTCTTAGACTTCGAGGGAACTGGCCCAGGTTGAGAAGGCTGTTTGAAAGCCAGCCGTGTGTGGCATGATTCCCGGGCACCTTTGCTCTCTGCCACTTGGATGTTTGTCTGTACCGAGAGCGGTTCTACCTGCTTTGTATGTATTAAGTCACGTTTCGTTCACAGCAGCCTTCCGGGATAGGTCCTGTTATCTTCATTTACATAGGAGGAAACTGACTCAGAGAGGCAAAGGAACTTGCCAAAGTAGCACGACCGGAAAGTTGCCTAGCTGGGCTGCAAGTCAGCCTGGCCTAAAGCTAAAGTAGGTGCTATTGACAACTTTGCTAATTAGAAGTTTTACCTTTGTGAGACAAACAAGGAGAGTCCAGTGATGTTATAGAGCAGGGACTTAGTGTCAGTGCCTTGACCTTGGCCTTCAGACAGACCAGGGTAGAGCCCCTGCCTCTCAGCTTGGCAGCATCAAGTCCTCAGGTAAACAGGCCCTGAAACTCAGCTGTCTTCAATAAGCTGGAGCAGAGAAACCGCTGTTATGGGGTGTTGGGGAAAATCTACACCGCCATGGTTTCTGCTAAAGTGCCTGTTTCTCAAGTGTGTGCTTCCTTCCTTCCGGAGGTTGCAATGGGCGCTTTCTGGGTCACCCTCATATTTTGTTTTGAGCAGGTGCACTTACTTGGGTTCTTGGTGTCTTTCGGTTACCAGAGCCACCTGTTAAAATGAAACTACCCATGGGAAGAGACTGTCTCACCCGTTTATGTGACAGTTGTTGGGGAGGGGACAGAGGGAGATTTGGTTTCATGGAAGCCTTTGTTTGACAGAGCAGAATGACGGCCCAGAAAGAGGAAGGGGTCTGTGGTCACACGGGGAGGCAGGAGACCAGCCTGCCTCCTGACTCCAAATCCTGGGAGACTGCCCTGCAGACTGAGAGAGGCCTGTCCACCTGCCTGAGTGTCCTGAGAGAGTCCTATGGCCGTACCCCCTGGGGTTGGTGAAGGCAGCACTGTGGGATAACCTTGAACAAGGGGACCCCAAAATGAGGTTGAATGCTATATTTACCATGGGGTTAGGGGTATGGGTGAGCCATGCCTCAGAGTGGCTGCAGGGCTAGATAGCAGTAGGGGGGCCAGAGCTAGGCCCACGCTGAGTTCCACTCTCCCTCTTAATTACTGGAGTTGAGTGACTTCCCTGTGCTTTAGCATTCCTGTGAAATGGGAATCATACCCATACCCATCGCACGGATACCAAGTGTGCCCTGCTTAGTGAGGGCATACCACGATGATATCTCCTGTCTATAGGGACCTGTATCACCTAGGGATCGTCCTAATCACATTTTCCCTTCCTCTGCCTAACACCTTGCCTTGTTCCCATAAAAGCTTCTGGCTTCAGGCTCATGCAACTTCCTGGCTGCGGTGTTCATTTGTTTGTAAAACTGTTGTGATCTAAGGCAAGTTCTTCTCTTATCACCTATAAAGTGGGGGTTAACTGGACTGTTTCCTAGACTTTCGAGTCATAAGATTTCTGCCAGGTGGAGATGCCTCTTGCTGGCTGGGGAACTTCTGGGGTGACTCATGAATAACACTGGGGAGCTCCATCAGGCCCCAGGGCTACAGGAAACACCAAAGGGCTGTTTGGCTCCTTCCAGTCTGTTGTACCTTGGAGAAAGGGCTGAGCTGAATTTGGAGGGGCTTCCTGACGAAGGTGGGGCTGAGGCAATTCATTGGCCGAAGCCTATCTTGTTGGTTGGTTTCATCCTAAAAGTCAGCCAAGAGGTGGTGGGACATAAGGTGCTGACCCCTGCTCTACCCAAGCCCTTGCCAGGATGAGGAAGGAAGGAGGGACTTGGGCTGGCAGTAGGTACCTGTGTCTCCTCTGGGTTCTGGCCATGGTGCTCAAAGCCAGAGCCTGGCTGCTCTGCCCCCCTGGATTCTCTACCGAATCTGCCATTGCTGACATTAAGACTGGAGGGTGGGGGTAGCGATGACTATCAACAGACTGTTAGGTCCAGGGGGGTCACGCAAAGATGAGAACACCACCAAGTCTAATAAACCAGAAGCAAACTTTATTCCAGAAACCAGATCCTAGGAAAACCAGAAGCAAACTTAAAAATAAAAAAATAAAAATA